TGAGAAAATTTCATATTCATTATATGAAACACGAAAGCAATATTTTTTATTTTTCATAAACTACTGAAATAGTGTTGATGTCTTAATTGTTGAAAACTTCTATAAACAGAATACATTATCAAAAGGGAATGTACACAAAATCCCAAATAAAATGTTGTTTTTGCTAAATTTACTATGCAAATATACGCCCTAATTTTCACATAAGTGTTGACAAGCAAGAAAACAACAAGCTAAAATGTAAGGTACTTTTATTTAAATAGCATTCAAGTAAATATATACAGCTTTAATTGTTGGGCCGACCTAACAAAGTTTTGACCAGATTCCATCAGGAATAACAAATATAGATAAATAAACATTCAGCAACTATAACAAATATGTTAGGCTGACCCAACAAAACTTTAGAAATCACAGTCATTCAAAACTACAGCTTACATCAGGAATAACAAATATTAAACATTTATAAAAATTTACAAAATATACAAATGTGTTGGGCTGGCCTAACACAAAGAAATCAGCCATTCAAAACTATCTCAAAATAATGTTTGATTGATGATATCTTAAAGTTTTAACTGTTAGGCTGGCCCAACAGACAAAAACAAGTTAATAAAAATATCACTTCATTGCTTCATACAGCTTTGTTAGCTGACCCAACAAACTTTTGAAAGGGATGTCTAACCTATATTCCAATCAAAATTGTTCAACCAGTTTATCGTGTTAGGCTGGCCTAACACACTTTTGACCAGATATATTTATGAACATTCAGAAACTTAAACAAATGTGTTAGGCTGCCCTAACAAATCTTTAGGAATCACAGTCATTCAATACTACCGCTTACATCAAGGAATAACAAATATTATACATTTATAAAAATTTAAAAAAACACAAATGTGTTGGGCTGGCCTAACAAAATTTAAGAAATCAGTCATTCAAAACTATCTCAAAATAATTGTTTGATTGATGATATCTTAAAATTTAGACTATTAGGCTGACCCAACAGACAAAAAACACAAGTTAATAAAACATGCTATATACAGCTTTGCTAGGCAGGCCCAACAAAATTTTGAAAGGAATATTTAACTATATTCCCTTCAAAAATTGTTCAACCATATTCTATCAAAAATAACAATTAAATAAGATTATAGACTTTATATAAACGAAACGTTAGGCTGGCCTAACAAACTTTTGACCAGCTTTTATCAGGAATAACAAACAGTACACATTTATAAAAATAAAAAAATAAAAGGAATGTTCTCATGTGTTGGGTTGGCCTAACAAAATTTTAGAAATCATCATTCAAAACTATCGCAAAATAACTATTTGAATGATGTTATCTTAAAATTTAAACTGTTAGGCTGGCCCAACAGACAAAACCACAAGTTAATAATACATTGCTATATACAGCTTTGTTAGGCTGGCCCAACAAATTTTTAAAAGGATTTTTTTTCAAAAATTGTTCGACCAGTTCATTGCGTTAAGAACAGTCATTCAAAACTATCTTGATTGATGATATCTTAAAATTTAAACTGTTAGGCTGACCCAAAAGATAAAAACACAAGTTAATAAAACTATGACTTCGTTGCTAAATACAGTTTAAATAGTTAGGCTGGCCTAAACTTTTGAAAGGAATATTCAATAATTGTTTGGCCAGTTTACATCATAAATTGACCAGATATTTCTTTAAACATTCAAGATGTAATACAAATGTGTTAGGCTGACCTAACAAAATTTCAGAAATCAGTCATTCAAAACTATCTGACAAAAACTGTTTGATTGATGATATCTTAATGTTGCTGGCCCAACAGACAAAATCACAACTTAGTAAAGTATCAATTCATTGCTATATACAGCTTTGTTAGGTTGGCCAAACTAACAAAAAACACCAGTTGATAAAAATATCAATTCATTGCTATATCTGACCAGTTTAGTTTACATCAGACAATAAAATAATTTATAATTAAAATTGAGAAAATTTCATATTCATTATATGAAACACGAAAGCAATATTTTTTATTTTTCATAAACTACTGAAATAGTGTTGATGTCTTAATTGTTGAAAACTTCTATCTTATAATAATGATATATATGTAATACATATTCTGAAATAATTGACAATGTTTTCGCTAACATATCCCTGACATATTTCTGAGTTACATTGCTATTCTATTCTTTATTCCACTCAGATCATGCAAACATGAGAAAATAATACATTAATTTTTGCAATAAACATAATAAACGAGGCTAAGAACCATATATAAATATCGCACAATATATTAACTATAGCGGGAAAGTTAACAACAATATCAAATATCAACAAATATAACTTCGAAGTTATACAGATCAACACTTTTTTCAGGTTCATGAGTCAATTGACAGCATATGCACATGTACATTCTTTGGTGTATCAAAACGGAACGTGGTTTTTATATAAGTTTAATATTATGGAAATGTCATGCCAATTAAAAAAGAATTCACACCTTCATGGACCTCTGCTTTCCGTATACTTAACCCTTTTTCACACCATTACTATAACTAGATCTTTGCCATTTCGAGTCTTCCTTTTATTTATTTATTTATTTATTTATTTATTTATTTATTTATTTATTTATTTATTTATTTATTTATTTATTTATTCTGTTCATTTAATTTTGGATTTTACTATTATCTTGAATTGCATGCAAACACACAAAGCGCAACAAATATATTTCAGCTAAAAAGGGGGACTAATATAAAAAAAACGGAGGGAAATCCATGAAACAGACTTTTTTTAACTATTTTAAAACAGAGAAACCTAAACTAAAAAATATTTTTCAATTGTATCAGGCATTATTCATATTAATGTTTGTATCGAAAGATTGCACGCTGATATTTAGGAAAGAACAATTTCTGTTTTAAGTTTACATTTTAAGATACATACATTTTAAGATACCCCTATGCGGTGGAAAATCATAGCTTTTTAATAAAATTTACACCATTAGACGCGGAAATCATTTAGGAAAAAAATGATATATAATTCAAGAATATTAAGTGTAAATATAATACCGTCCGTGTGATTATCACGGCACTACCCCAAACCGTGTGATAATTACGACCCTGCGTAATAATCACACGCGTGGTAATATTACCACGCGTGTGATAATTACGCGACACCGGACGTACACAACGATATTTAGATATAGCTACTTTATAGGCGAAAGAGTGAGTAGATGTTTAAAACGAATCAGTTTTTGATCAGACACCGACATGTTGTTTATACTAATTTATTTATTATTATTAATTGATAGCGAACATCTTTAAAACACGATTTTGATTACAGCGATCAGGTGATGCAACCCCTTCTAATACAATGTATACTGCACGTTGGGCTTACAAAGTATAATAAATTGCTAAAATTTAATAAAAAAATATATAAGCCGTGCCATAACAAAACCAGCATAGTGCATTTTCGTCCAGCATGGATCCAGACCAGCCTGCGCTTACGCGCAGTCTGATCAAGAGGTGTTCGCTATAAGATTCTCTATTTGTAATATGGTTTGTAAGCGAACAGCATGGATCCTGATCAGACTTCGCGGATTCGCTTGCTGGTCTGGATCCATGCTGGTCGCAAATGCAACATGTTGGTTTTGTCATGACACGGTTCATATTTATATTCAAAAATAAATATGCCGTCTTGAACACGTCACATGTCATACTTGTACGTCGATCTGAAAATGTAATGGATGTAAGTTGTAACGTATAAAAATATATTTACAAAACGTTAATTTTGATGTTAAAACAACAGGTAATATCGTAAAAATGAATGATCTAAGGATATTGCAGTCTCTCATTAGCTTAATACGGGTTCAAATTATTTTTGGCTAATAAGAATGCTGAACTTTAAACGAATCGTAGCACATGTGCTTAGAAAATCGGCTTCTTCTAACCGACTATAAGATATAATTAACAATATAATGATATGTAATTTTTAAGCACTAAATCTGTTCATTTATAATAGTAGACATTTAACATATACTTAATGCATTGCATATTAAATAACATTGTATTGAAACTTTAGATTAGCTTTTGGAAACATTTGATATATGTTAAAGATATACTATGCTCAATTTTTATATTTTTAGATAATGATAATTGCTAAATCACACCGTATTACCGGCGCCAGTGATGGCAGATCACTGCAGTGATGGCAGATACCTGAAATTTACCGCTCGGTACAGGTAGGTTATAAATTTGGTTGATATTATTATATTACAAAAATACGGCCCATTTTATTGCTATGAAACTATTTTCAATTGACTAGAGATACTATTAGGTAATTTTGGACTCGTTTTTTTCCTGTTTTTAGACTATTTTGAGCACGTTAATAGTGACAGATTCGGAAAAATCCGTGAAAATGTATGTTATTTGTTCAAAGTATCTCAAGTTTTAACTAAATGGCAGAAGTTCGTGTTATTAATATTGACGTTCATCCATTGTGGTCACGCAAGCCACATTACCACTGGGTAGATATTTGGCTTGCGTGACCCCAATGGATGAACGTCTATATAAATAACACGAAGTCCTGCCATTTAGTTAAAACTTATATTTGAACAAAAAAAGCAGACATTTTCACGCATTTTTCCGAAGCTGTCACTTTTAACCTGCTCAAAATAGTCGAAAAAAGATTACAAAATTACCTAATAGTATCTCCAGTCAATGGACAATAGTTTCATAGCAATGAAATGGGCCGTTTTTTGTGTAATATAGTATTACCAACCAAATTTATAACCTACCTGTACCGAGCGGTAAATTTCAGGTATCTGCCATCACTGCAGTTATCTGCCATCACTGGCGCCGGTAATACGGTGTGAAAATATCAATGTCCATTTAGAGTTTTTTTTTTGTCGATCTTGATTTTGTTTTAATACCCGCTTTATTCTATAAAACGGAATTTACCTCATAGCTTTCATTGACATATTAAATATGATCGATGTAAATGTATTTTGAGCGTTCATTTCTATTTTAAGTTTGATCAACACTGCTCGTCGCGCCCGTGTAAAGAAAATGAGGTTTGCATCCCTAAGACGTTGTTAACGTCATCAGCGGACAGTAGTGGCTGTGGACATGCTTGCATTCTATTCGGTATGTATCGATTAATATCATTTTATTGGATTGTAGATGGTAATGTGGATGCGATTTTATTAAACTGAACATTCATACTTTTTTGAAAGTGTCGCTAGTAGTTTTATGTAATAAAATTGTTTGCAAATATGGAATAATGATAAAGATCTAAATGCATATAAAGTAACATTTCATTTCTGTAACCGATGCATCGTTTTTTATTGTAGCGTTGACCTTTGCATGAATATTTTTCTACAAATACATTAATTATTAGTTATTCAGTTGCGTCATTAAATGAAAATATACGTTTAACAGTAAGACGATCCGTGAGATTCCTTTAACGTTTTGAGATATCATTGACAGGTGAAAATAAGTATCAATGTAATTTAGTAACCATTAGAAATCGTGAACCTATTACATCATTAAACTCCCCTTGTGGCTGAGTGTTTGCCTTTGTTGGTTGAGGCAGTCAACATATATCCATGTGAGATCGTAAGAGGCAGTTAAATGAGCCATGTCACGACAAAACCAACATAATGGGTTTGCGACCAGCATGGATCCAGACCAGCCTGAGCATCCGCACAGGCTGGTCTGGATCCATGCTGGTCGCAAACCCACTATGTTAGTTTTGTCATGGCATGGCTCAAATGGGAGTCGTTGCATCTCTATGCTCAAGCAGATGAGGTTGTTTTGACCACAGGTGTTGCTTTAGGTATGTAACACCCGATGTTAGCCAAACTCATTTTTTCTGTTAAAAACAAAAACGTGTTGGTGCGTCGTAAAACCAAAACAAAAAACATCATTGAATATAAAGCTGTACAGTATTTGTATTTAAATGCATCACAGAGAGAATAACTTAAAGCAAAATCTTCAATTTTTAAAATTGATCCGTATTTTAAGGTAACTCTGTTTGTCCAATGCCAACGGCAGGAACGTTTGTTGGTAGAAAGGTCGGTTCTGTGAATGTAGTCACGTGTCCTAAAGGTAAGACCGGTGGGGGCCAAGCTACTTGTGAGGCTGATCTAAAATGGAGCTCTCAAATTCCCGGATGTGTTGGTGAGTTAAATATATTTTTATCTTAGTCAATGTAGTTGATAGAAAATGTATAACGCATAGAGCAGTTGCTGTATATATAGTGTCATTTACTACCGAAAGTCTTGAAATCTAGTACTGCATGATACTAATAATCTTATAAACTCGATAGAATAACTCTTGATCATAATGTTGATCCCCTAGTTTCATTTTATTACACAAGTGCTGGGCACTCATTTTTCCTTTTAGATATTTATAACCATAGCTGTTCTGACAACATCCTATGTTCTAAGATAGGAGCAAAATGTACGACGGAAGGAAAATGCCAATGTGTACATTCTATGTATAATGAAACAACTTCTCAGTGCCAACCAGGTACACTTTAATTTTGTTTTCACTTATTCATTTGACTTCAATTATTTAACATACTCTACTTACCAAGGTAGTATAATCATACAATGGTTTCTCGTTAATAATTTGATGAGATGATTTTTAAGGGGGGAGTATAATTGCAATAATTATTATGCCTCTAGCTGGAGAATTTGAAAATTACATGTACATTGAATAAATGGTGCCAACTTCCTTCCGTCCGTCCCAAAGGTCCGGCTAGCTCCATAGGTAGAGTGTTGGACTGTGAATCGGGCTATCCAGGTTCGATTCCACAAAGGTACACTCAGTCACTTTCATATTGATGACATCTTTTCTAATGTCATTTGCACTGTACCTCTGATCTGGCATGTACACACATTCCTTGCGAAAGTGAAGGCAACAAGTTTGGTAAACTGCTTAACAGTCTAACAAGGAACGATACGCTGGCTAAACTGTGCTCTGATATATTCAATGTGGCTTACTACCGTGTTCCGGAGTAAAAAATACCAACACCAGCCGAATTCCTTATTATCATAAAATTAAATCTTAACTTGCTGAATTTGTGAAATAAATTTGCCCGTTTAAATTTCGATTTTTCCATTTGAAAAATTAGGGAATCAAAATACAAAATTTCAGCTGCAAACAGAGAAGAGCCTGACCAGACTGTTCGGATATATAGATTAAACTGGCCTTTTAATGTTAACTTAGTATAAATTATTTCAGTTCCACTAGTTTAAGTATTTAATGTTGTGTAATTTGACTGATAACAAGTACGTTGCGGCACTTAGACTATGTTGAATGTATCAATCTTTTTGTAGCACTGTTACGTCTCGATGGGGGAAGCGAACAAAATGACACTGTGGACGGATTCCTTCAGTTTTATGATGAAAACGAATGGAAAGCAGTGTGTAAAAAACATTGGAACTGGAAGGCAACAAGTGTAGCCTGTAGACATATTAGAAGTGACCTGATGTAATCAACACCTATTTATAGATATAATAAAATATTTATTTATTTATTTTTTTATTTATTTATTTATTTATTTTGTTTCATTTTATTTTATTTCTTTATTTATTTACTTATTTTTTTATTCATTCATTTTTTTATTTATTCAATTATTTTTTTATTATTTATTTATTTATTCATTCATTCAAAGATGATATGACACAATTTATTTGCAGCATTATGTCAATGAAATGAAAAAATGAATTAATGATCGAACGAACGAACGAACGAACAAAGTTTGTTATCTTTAGATAGACGATTAATTTGATCACTTGGTATTTTGATTTTCCTAGCAGTATCACGCCATTATCTAGTTAAAAATAATTCGCTTTTTTTCATGAAATCAAGATATGGTGGCACATTCCATACATACTGGAAAGGTGGGACTGCTTCTACTCTAAAAAAGATCAAATTCAGAGACATTGACTGTACTGGAAATGAAGAGTTCCTGCAAGATTGCAAAAATGGTGAAGAGAAAGATTGTGACAGACCGGAACTCGCTTTAACCTGCTTCAAATACAACGTCAGCGGTATGATCTCAAGAGAAAACATTATCAACTTGTTTTCTTTTAATATAATTATATATATTTTTTTATTTAATTTTCTTTTCTATTTTTTTTTCTTTTTTTTTCTCTCTTTTTTTTTTACATTTATTTACATGGAATGAGTCAACAAACTAAAATATTTTGGCCGTAACAGACGCTGGAAATATAAAACTAAAAAAAAGATTGACTGAATTAATGAAAAATAATGTATGTTTATATAATCATTCATGCAACGGAATTTACGGTTTATTTGGGGAAATACATTTAAAGCAAATACATGCGTTTTGTTCAGGTACTGGTCATTTTCGGCAATTATGCATTCTTGAAACTTTTGGGGAATATTATGGATAATGTTGAACTTCAAACTTTGTACTACTAAACGTGTTTCAGTCGTTTTTCTTACAGAAGCAGCGAATAAGCCTTTAGCTTTATTCGAAAGTATTCATGCTTTACAATCAGAACCTGTGACAATCGATAGTGAAAACATGACTGGAATACTAGCCGTCAAAGTCAATGGTCGGTGGGGCATTGTGTGCAAGAAGGGCTTTGATGGAAAACATGTCGCATGTAAATCTTTGAATCCAAAGTGGAAGTAGGTTGCTTGTATTTTGCAAATAAATAAACCTCATTTTATCATAATTTTATGACTTTGTGACATCCTTCAAAACAGCCGTTCATCATCGTTTAAGTTCTTAATTGTGATTTTTTTGGTTTGTTTTTATTGTGTTTTTTGTTGTTGTTTTTTTTTGTTAACAAATCTACAACTGCTATACACATCTAACCAGTTAGAGACATAGAGTTTGTGTTTTGCAAAGAAGTGTTGCTCTAAAGGAGTGGCTTTAGTGTACGGTATCGCTGTAGGAAGAATTGTTATTGTATTTGTAATATTATAGTAACTAATATGAAGCAGCTGATGAATATAATTTAAAATGAAAAAATGAACGATTCAAAAGTTATTTCATGGCAAATATGTGTAACATATAGGCAAAAAATGTATCAAATTTGATTTTTCCTATTTGTTTAATCTTATTACTGAATCTGAATCTGAGGTCTGAAAGTTCCATATTGGTTTAATCTTTGTTTTAAGGTCGGGCAGTGATGAAGCATTTGACATATCTGATCTACAGGAAAATTATTTACTATATACTCAAAATGTTGACTGTAAAGGAGACGAAACACACCTGTTCTACTGTGAAAACAATGGCTGGAATACTCATGAACCTTGTAGCAATGGAGAGATCATTCGTCTTGAATGTGAGCCTGATTTAAGGCGTTAAAATCCGGCGACATCCGCGGTTATATCAACTGAAAACAGTCGGTTTTGTGCAATAAATTTACTTATTTCAAGCTAACAAGGTCAAATAGAATAAAGCAGTGGATAGTTAATTATCACTTATACAAATGTATAATTGTGACTGTTCAAGGCGCAAAGGGCATTTATTCTTTCTTTTTTATGAGTAAATGGCGGATAAGATCGTTTTATTACATAAAGGCACATTATGCTTCAGAAATACATATTTGTGTCTTTCTGTAGAAAAATAGGCATGCTTGTAATTGTCTTTTCAGTAAATAAATGGATATAGAACAATGCGTATGAATAGACAGCGCTATAAATTAAAGTAAGAAAAAAATGTAAACAAATGATATTATGACTTCCATACAAAATGCTAATAGTTTTGTCTGTTCTTATTTGACCATTTCAAAAGAAACAATATTTGCTATACAATGTGACATTTGAGAATAGTTTTGGACACTCAAACATTTAAAGCTTTTGAAAATATGAAATACTAATATTTTTACGCTTAAAGGCCCATTATTCCTTAGAAGTGCTTTCATTTCTATTTCTCAATCACTCTTTTTTTTTCTTAAGTAACCCGTTACAGTTTTCTAAAATTACCCATTCGCCATCTATATTAACCATCAGCCGATTTTGTTATGTATCACAATTTGTAAAATTATAGTGAAATAGTATTTTGTATGGAAGTGAAAACAATACTTTGTTTACATTTTATTACCTTTACAACACATAACTGCACACTCAGCCTTAAACATCTAATAAACTCTTATCCATTATTAAAACATAAGTAATCACATGGTTGATATTTCTTAGGAAATTAAAAAAAAAAACAACATTTTTTTCTGGGGCATAATTTGCCTTTTTATAAACTATTAACATAAATGCCTTTATGTATTATTTTTGGGATATGTGTATTTATAATTGATTGCAATCTAATATTCCGTTTGGATTCATGATGTATGAAAATATTCACATTAAGTCATCTTGAAATATTATAGGCATAGATAGAGGTGTTTGGATGATAACATAATTATTATGACATTTATCGTAAATATCATGTAGTAAATACTTAAATGTCTTCTAGGAATTGACATTAAAAATACGATTCTTGACATTGGTTTTAAAATCATTACATTATTATTGGTAACGAAGACAATATTCAAAGAAAATCACGGAAAAAATTTTTTTTTCGTGCCAAATAAGTTAAGAGGAATATATAATTTCTATAATTTAAAAAAAAAATAGAATATGTTATTTTCAAAATAATTATCTTTTGTTAGAAACAATTCTAATGATGCCTCTTTAGATGTGAATTAATTGAAGCTAGATATATGCTAAGAATGTATAGAATATTCAGGAATGTCTTCGAAACAGAAACAAATGTAAAACAACATTTGCCTTTTTATTGTCGAAGAGCTGCGAATTATTTCAAGACTGGAGACCAGGAGGTATGAAAATATGTCAATACATGAAAGAACTTGTTTTAACTATATAAATATGGTAGAAGATGAGATATATGTTATGTTAACTTAGTATATATACAATACAGAGAAGACCTATTCGAGTCTGCCAGAACAACTGATAGTAATTTTGACAACTTATCTGATGTTGAGAAAATCAGATGTTTGTAATTGTTATTTAAGCTCATCACATTCAAGATTTTGTCCGTGACTTTTCAGATGTCTATAATTGTTGTTAAAGCATTAAAGCTCTTCACATTCAAGACGTTTTCAGTGTCTATTTCGTATGTCTTATACTGCTATTAAAAATTTAGTACATTTCATTTAATGTCGTCAGTGTCTTTTTTATGTGTGTAATTGTTATCATAAGCTCATCTAAATCATGTGTTGTCAGTGTCATTTAAGTCTATATTTTTATTCTTCTTTTCTTCTTTTAAGGTCATTGCTTTCATGGTGTTGGCAGTCTTCACCAATGTCTGTAATTGATATTATAAGCTCATCACATTCATGTTGCTGTAATTGTCGTTTAAGGTCTAATGAAGCTGTTATTTTAAGCTGAGTTTTTTTCGTGGTGTTGTAAGCATATTTAAAGGTCTAATGTCACTTGTTTTTTTTTATCTTAGCACAATAATGGTGATATCGAGTCTTTTCAGATGTCTACAATTGTTATTTGAGCTCATCACATTCATGTTGCTGCCATTGTCCATTAAGGTCTCATTTATTTTCAGCTTAGCATATTCATGGTGTTGTTATTGTCTGTTAAGATAACCATTATCGTAGTTATAAGCTAATCACATTCATGATGTAAGTGTCTATTCAGATGTCTTTTATTGATATTTTAGCAGTTTTGTCAGTGTCTATTCAGATGTCAATTACATTTATTTAGGCTCATCACGTTAATATTGTTGTCAGTGTCTATTCAGATATCTATTATTGTTTTTAAGCGCATCACGTTCATAGTTTTGTCAGTATCTATTCAGATGTCTGTTTTTGTTATTTAAGTTTATCACATTCATTGTGTTGTCAGTGTCTATATAGATGTTTTTTATTGATATTTAGGCTCATCACATTTATAGTGTTGTCAGTGTCGATAAAGATGTTTTTTATTGATATTTAGGCTCATCACATTCATAGTGTTGTCAGTGTCTATAAAGATGTCTTTTATTGATATTTAGGCTCATCACATTCATAGTTTTGTCAGTGTCTATATAGATGTTTTTATTGATATTTAGGCTCATCACATTCATAGTGTTGTCAGTGTCTATATAGATGTTTTTATTGATATTTAGGCTCATCACGTTCATAGTTTTGTCAGTGTCTATATAGATGTTTTTATTGATATTTAGGCTCATCACGTTCATAGTTTTGTCAGTGTCTATATAGAGGATTTTATTGATATTTAGGCTAATCACGTTCATAGTTTTGTCAGTGTCTATATAGATGTTTTTATTGATATTTAGGCTCATCTCGTTCATAGTTTTGTCAGTGTCTATATAGATGTTTTTTATTGATATTTAGGCTAATCACGTTCATAGTTTTGTCAGTGTCTATATAGATGTTTTTATTGATATTTAGGCTAATCACATTCATAGTGTTATCAGTGTCTTTTCAGATGTCTATATTTGTTATTTAAGCTCATCACATTGATAGTGTTGTCAGTGTCTATTCAGATGTCTGTATTTGTTATTTAAGCTCATCACATTCATAGTGTTATCAGTGTCTATTCAGATGTCTGTATTTGTTATTTAAGCACATCACATTCATAGTGATGTCCGTGTCTATTCAGATGTCTGTATTTGTTATTTAAGCTCATCACATTCATAGTGTTGTCAGTGTCTATTCAGATGTCTGTATTTGTTATTTAAGCTCATCACATTCATAGTGTTGTCCATGTCTATTCAGATGTCTGTATTTGTTATTTAAGCTCATCACATTCATAGTGTTGTCAGTGTCTATTCAGATGTCTGTATTTGTTATTTAGGCTCATTACATTCATAGTGTTGTCAGTGTCTATTCAGATGTCTGTATTTGTTATTTAGGCTCATTACATTCATAGTATTGTCCATGTCTATTCAGATGTCTGTATTTGTTATTTAAGCTCATCACATTCATAGTGTTGTCAGTATCTATTCAGATGTCTATAATTCTTTTTTAAGCTTATCACGTTCATAGTGTTATCAGTGTCTATTCAGATTTCTATGTTTCATTTAGGCTCATCACATTCATAGTGCTGTCAGTGTCTATTCAGATGTCTGTATTTGCTTTAAAGTTCATCACATTCATAGTTTTGTAAGTGTCTATTCAGATGTCTTTATTTGTTATTTAAGCTCATCACATTCATAGTGTTGTAAGTGTCTATTCAGATGTCTGTATTTGTTATTTAAGCTCATCACATTCATAGTGCTGTCAGTGTCTATTCAGATGTCTGTATTTGCTTTAAAGTTCATCACATTCATAGTGTTGTCAATGTCTATTCAGATGTCTGTATTTGTTATTTTAGCTCATCACATTCATAGTGTTGTCAATGTCTATTCAGATGTCTGTATTTGCTTTAAAGTTCATCACATTCACAGTTTTGTAAGTGTCTATTCAGATGTCTTTATTTGTTATTTAAGCTCATCACATTCATAGTGTTGTAAGTGTCTATTCAGATGTCTTTATTTGTTATTTAAGCTCATCACATTCATAGTGTTGTCATTTTCTATTTAGATGTCTGTATTTGTTATTTTAGCACATCACAATCATAGTGTTATCAGTTTCTATTCAGATGTATATTACTGTTATTTAAAGACACATTATGCCTCAGAAATCCATATTCATTACATCATTTCGAAATCTCAAACGCGTCTTTACTAATTGATTCGAGCATGTAATATGCTAACTGCTGTAGAAAGTAGCACTGAATGTGCAGTAACGTGTCGTAAAGGTGGCAAAATGTAAATAAAGTAGTATTTTGGCTTTCATACAAAATACTAATTCACAATAATTGTAACATTTGCCTACAAAGCAAAAAAATGCAAAGACAGTTCTCGTTTATGGCAAATAAGGATTTTTTGGAAACTGTAACAAGATACCAAAGATCAAAAGTTTTTGTGAAATAATTTGATAGCAATTATGAGGCATAATGAGCCTTTAAGCTTATCAGCTTCAAAGTGTTGTAAGTGTTATTTATGTCTTTAACTTTTATTTATCGCATTCACGGTGTTGTAATTGATTGAAATAAAAAAAACGACTTTGATTATAGTATATATGACATGTTGCATTGTTTTACAAAACAAATATTTGAAAAAAAACATATTTTGTGTACCTTCGCTGAATATAATAAATTTAAACATCAATTTATGTATAACAATTGTACATGTATAGCATGTAAAACACCTGTATTTAAATTTAACATCTAGGAAAATAGTATTCATATATCAAATATATAATCATCTTCAAAATGTATTGTGTTATTTTTTTTAAAAAAGGTATGTGTAAAAAATGAAATACGGTTTCTATAACTCGAAATATGTTCGCCGTTGTAGTAATCTAAATTATTTAAACTAATGTGCGGTACTTGTCCGATTTATATCAGTCCCCTAAAGTAATTTGTTATGTCTTGTATTCGTCCGTCCGTACGTCTGTCTGTGTAAACTATGCCTATGGTTTTAGATTGAATCAGGATGAAATTACAGAAACCGTCGTTTCACTGGTAATATCATGTCCGATCAATAACTTGATAACTCTTCGTTGTAATGTCTTCATAGTTAGTGATGAGGTTTTGCTTGGCCAGTAGATGACTCCTGTAGACTTTGTGAAAATTAAAGGTCCGTGTTGCAATGACATTCAACATTAGAATTTTTCTTTTGCGTTTTATCTGACGAAACTGTGGTCTACAGGTCTTCATACATGATAGCTTTTGGTTGACAGGATATAAATTTTTTTTGGCCGGTTAATATACTGTATAGTCACTTAACTATCTCAGGAAATAAACAGATATGCATCTTACCAAATAGTTTTGAATGTAACATTTAATAAACTTTAACTACAACATTGATGCCCAATAGTAATAAAAAGGAGAAAAAATGTAAAGTGCTCTTTCTTTTTCATGACAGCTGAATAGTACCAGGTTTTAAACAAAAGATATACTTGGAAATAAAGGCTTAATAATGCAAAACAAATGCGTTTTACCGCTTAACAAAGTCGTTTGAACACAAAACAAAGGCGTTGAAATAACACCAATTTAATACCAATTTAATGCTTATCAAATGACCTGGTAACGCGAAACAGGAAGTGCAATATTAATATGCTGAATTAATTGTTCTCGATATATGTGCATCATATTTTTTCAATTATCTACGGAAACGTACTAATGACACAGTCTGATTTTCATTTCTTATTAGGAAATACTACCAGTCAATTAGGAGCTATATATTACCTTTACGTATTAGATACATTTACCTTATTTGAATATTCTAACACTTAAAAAAGGAAATGTCTCCCTTTTAATGCAAAACCTACACACTCTCATCCTATTAAGCGATATTGTACGTATACCCTTATATGACATATGATATCTATTGCTTGATTAGGACACACTGCTTCGTAATTAGAAGCCCTTATCACGTCATTATGTAATATTAGGTAATATCACGTAATTCGGACGAATCTGTTATTTTACTAATAAGGTCATAGTTAAGTTCATAAAGTTCATTTTGATTGCCAATTAAAGGCACGTCTTTCAGACCTATGGACGCACAGTTTTTAACAGTTTTTAAATTACCTCGTGGCTAAGAAAAAAAAAACTTGCGGATTCGTGGCAACGAGATTATAACTAATAAAAATAAGAGATAATGACCGTAATGAATTTGCATAATGTTGATTTGAAACCTTAACACGTGGCCACAAGTTTATCAAACGATTTGATTGGTCAGTTAACTCATGACCACGTAATATCAAAATGTGTTGTTGTTTTTCTCATAGTTTCGTTTGAAAAAAAAAAGCTTTCTATTATTTTTTTTTTCATCAGATGTGCTACCGTGAATTAACTTAAATTCAAATCAACTCAATTTATTTACATGTATTTGTATATAGACATTATGCAACAGAGAGGCTACAAATTGTGCAAATTATTGAAAATGATTTAATTGAAAATTGATTATGAAACGATAACAAATAGGGGAGTTAACAATAAAATATTAATTTGTTTTGCAAATTTTCCCCTATTCGCTTACATAAACAAATTATAAATGTCTGACTGAATGGCGCGCATGGTTTGTTACCAAATGGCGTATTTATAAATTTTGTATTTAAGTTGTAAATCAACTTTATATTTATTGATATGTTAGTTATTCGCCAACGCTCATTCATTCAAAAAAGTTCCAATTAATGTTAGAATATTAAATGTTTGGCAGAGTATGATAAGTGTAAAAAGAGTGATGCCCAGTTAAACATTCATATAGTCCTTTTTATACAGTTCTCTGGGGCTTACAGTCAACCATATTTATTCTGTAATATAAATTTGAAAAAAATAAATGGCAATGAAAAGTTCCATGATAAATGACTACAGTTTTATAAGTGTATGAATATTTATAATCAATCAAGAAATTATCTCCACTCCTTTCTCACATTTCATTTTCATTATCAAACATGTAAATGATAAATGAAAGCATAATAATTTATTACAAAACTACGGGCCCCCAGGAAGCATCTATATAATTCATGTAAAACAATCTAAGGGAATTTCAGAACTTCTGATAGAAGTCATTCATTACATTCTTTTATTGTTTATAACAAAATAAATCATGTAGAAATAATATTGAACATTTAATGTTAAGCATATCAGTTAATATATTTTCTTCTTTAATTTTATGGAGCGTTTTTGTGGAGAATACCATGCTAGCATCTGATATTACAACATTTATCCGGCAATGCTAAAAAAAAGAATGGCGAAGGAGCTCTTCATTTTTTTAAACGTGCGGAGTGTGATTAATTTTATAATATCAGAATCTTATTTGGTATTCAATTAACCATGTTTTTAATTTTAATATTGGTTTCTTTCTTTAAATTTCAAATTAAACAAAAGCCTGCCTTGAACCTCTCGAGTTCATGCCGCGTGCAGTAATATGCCAAAGGAAATATCCATAAAAATAGTCCCAAATGTTTTAGTCAAATGTTAGAGAGACTTTAATATTCAAAACATCTATGCGATTCAAAGTTTATCAGTTTAATATTTTCAAACTAGTAAAAGGTATAAATATTACATCCTAATCATTTTATTTCAATGTTATTGTTGAGGTGTCTGATAAAGCTGAGGGTGACTGATAAAGCTAAATTGATCAGGCATGCACTGTATCATTAGAAATTAATGTTATGACATGTTATCGCATGGTTCGGAACTTTTCCTTTGTTCTAACTAACCCCTTGTTCTCGGTATACTTCAATAAGCATTTGAAAACTGTATTGATATATAGCAGTACAGATTTTTCATTGATTCATATAGGAAAAATACTCGACTGCTATATAGCGGTTGAGTTTTTACGCACCTTGTATATTTGAATGTAGTTTTTTTTCGAAGATGCTCCAATGGGGCAGTGGTAACGAACATTCCCAGTAGCAAAAAAGTGGAATCAATAAAATGAAATAAATAAATAAAAACAATGAAAAATATAAACTAAGATAATAACTGAAATGAAATTTACTCTCATTTAATCAAAAGGTACATCCGCTTAATGTATTATTTCCACTGAAAAAAAGCCCTTTAATCTTGAATCAATATTGGTAACAGTTTACAATTCTCCTCCAACATTTGATATCTTTTGTATATCTTTTTTTTGCGGCAGCGAAAACAACTGAAACAAACTGCCTTATCATAAATATCTGTAATGTAGCTAACGATTTATTTATTTCTATTACAAAAAAAGAAAACAATATGTCATTGCGATAAAACAGTTATAGTATATGAAACTCGTTAGTTACGAGGATATAACACTGGCTGGGCGACATCTCGGGATATTTCTGCAAAAAATTGTCTCGGCCTAACGGCCTCGCCATTTTTTGGCAGAAACATCCCTTGATGGCGCCCCAGCCAGTGTTATATCCTCGTAACTAACGAGTTTCATATAAATTATGGCAAAGTTAATTGTTCGGTTTATGAAACAATTGCACATGTTAATTAACATGTTATACTATATGAAAATAGTGTTCCGTATATTTAGGTGTAGGATAACGGTAATTAGCCGGTAATTAGTCAACAAAACATAGGCGGATATATTAAATATAATGAGCTGTCACCGGACACACGAATAGGATATACCTAATTTAGTTAATTGATGGGCATGCCATCACCTAAGCGGGGATTTGTACCATGCAAACATAATTGTTTATTAAATTGTTAGCTGGCCGGAAACGCATATTTGCATTTATGAATTATGGGTTAATAAAGTTCAATGCGTATAATATTTTAGTATTTAAGGTAAGCAAAATATTATATTCTTTAGTGTGGTTTTTGATGTTAAACACACTCACTCACTTAGTTTAAATTATGCTAAATACGCAGTTGACATTAATTCTTATTGCTTTACGTATTTGTTTAAGAATTGTGAAATTGTTAAAGACACTGATTAAGCAATTGCTTTATTTTATAGAATAATAATCTTATACTAAATAAATACATATATCTGACGTCTATAAACTTGATATTGTGTTGACTTATTCATATTGAGTTATTCAGATCTGGGCGTTACACTACATAGGTTTCATTTCCAATTTATTTAAGGGAAAAAAACATGCTTATATGTAATGATTATTTTATGTTACCATTCCTTTAGAACTGTAACAATAACCATTTATAACAATACTTGTTCAAATTTAGGTCAAACTGATATGTTTCTCAAGATTTTAAAAGCATAAAACTTATATGCAAATGTATATGTTCTGCAAGATATTACAAAATATTAGTTGTCCATTTAATGTGACTCCACTGACGTTTTTTTTACATATGGGACTGGATATATTTTCCCGATAGTTACGATTTAAAATAGGTTTGGACAAATAATTTGTATGCAAATATTTAGATCATTTTTATTGCGCACATGGGCACATGGTTGTCGCAATGTAGCCCGTCACAGAAACTTTCGACAGAGAGATATGCTATTGGATAATATCTTGATCCATTATAATCTCTAGTGATTTTTTTATCAAAACTTTGACCCCTATATGTGACCTTGACCTTGGCCGCAGGGCCCTAAATTTTGCGCTCGACACTCCGCCTCACAATAGTGAACATTTGTGCCAAGTTATATTGAATTATATTGAAATCCTTTTATGTATGTAGAAGTTTTGCTCCGGACAAAGCGGTTTTCTATGACATCTTAGTATGAACTTAACCTTTGACCTAGAAATATGGTTCATGCACGGGGCACGACT